TTAATCACGAATGTTTAGTACAGAACCCGTTATTCCGGGACTCTTAAAAGATCTCCGCATCTCGAAACAATGTATGCAAGTGGAGCGTAACCGACCGCGTTTAATTGGGTCAACATGACTCCGGGCTCGTTTTAATTCACGGTTCCGTCCTCCGCCAGAGGGGAAACGAACGAGCTGGAGGGAAGGTCAACTCCCGGGACGCGGACAAAAGACGAGCCAGAAGTGGTCGATTTAAAAGGCTCGATTCAACGGTAGACAGGAGGCGGGAAAGTCGAGTCTCCAGAGCATTTGTGGACGTTTCGAACCATTAGGCGAGGCGGCCGCAATTAACACCGTCGCCCATCGACACCCGCAAACCCCATTACGGGCCGCCTTCCTTGTTTCCAACCCTCTTGTTTTTCCTCCGTCTAACATCCCGACGAATCCTCCGATTCTCGATTAACACTTGTCGCACAGACTTCAGAGAGATTACCAAACTCTTTACGTTTTATCTCGGACTCGTTCCGCTTCGTACTCCTTCCGTTATCTAATTCGTGTCTAAATCTTAATTTGGTCCACGCGTTAAGGTCAGACGTAAGAATTAATGCGATAATTCATATAATAATTGCTTTATTACTTAATGCAATATTTGCCAACGATTCATACAATATTTGCTATAATAATTCATGTATCATTTAAATGTAATTATGCAAATGGTTAAAGCCAATTTAGAAGAAGAACGTAAGCAGGTGGGAGAGCGTTACGCTTAGACTAGAAATATTCGTCCCCGGCGTAACAGGGAACACGTAGCGAAAGTTGGACGGATCGTCCAGACATAGGGTCGGAATAAGCCGGAAGTTGTGGATACCGGGACCGCCGCGATAGGAGAAGTTACGTAGCAGCGAAGTAACTTCGTCCTATCCCGGCCACCTCGTTTAACACACGCTCTCCGTGTGCGCGTTGATGTATAATTAGTTTCGTCCAATCCCCCTTCTTCAACCCTTGTTCTAACTTAAATACCAACGTTAACCGGTTCCATCGATGATATTCTGGACAAACTAAATATAGAATTATGTATTAAACGTTCTCATGTACATACGTCTAAGTAGAATGACAAATCAATTGCATTTACGGTTTAACACTAGAAAGACTGAAACTTAGTATATACCTATATTGTCC